GAGAAATAAGGGTGAGGTTGAAACAAAAGTGAAGAATATATGTCTACTGAAAAAAAAAGAGTAAGAGATGGAGGGAGGAAACAGTAAAGTTACAGGAAGGAACTAAATTAGTGACACACAATACTATGTCTATTTTGAAACTCTGGCTATATCTCAAAATATAGCTGGTTTCAGAGTGCAACCCTCTGATCCAGCCAGTCTGATCATCCTTCTTCAAATTCTTTTATTGGAAAGTGTTCAACTTTAATAATGAATGGTGTGCAGGGAACTTACTAACCTTGATTTCTGAGAGAAGATGTTAAGATGGTGATTCCTACTTTTCCTCCCTCCCTCCCTCCCTCCCTCCCTCCCTCCCTTCCTTCCTTCCTTCCTTCCTTCCTTCCTTCCTTCCTTCCTTCCTTCCTTTCTTCCTTCCTCTCTCTTTCTTTCTTTTTGCCCATTGAGATGGTTCCAAGTATTATAAAATTTTTGCAATCCTCCCCTTTGGAAAGTTTTAGTTTCATGTTTTAAAGTTATGTAATGTTCACTTCATTACATAAATAATGTAAATAAAGAAAGGGTTCGATTCCTCCGTCCCTCTTGGAGAGCCTGGCAAGCTACTGAGAGTATCCCACCCACACAGCAGAGCTTGGCAAGCTCCCCGTGGCGTATTTGATATGCCAAAAACATTAACAACAAGTCTCACAATGGAGACATTACTGGTGCCTGCTTGAGCAAATGGTGAACAATGGGATGACGGTGCTAATGTTCATAGCCAAATGGAGATTTTTTTGTTGTTGTTGTAAAAAACACTGAATCAGAAAGTAGACTACAGACCAAACATGATTGCCACTCAAGTCCTCTTTTGCAAACCATAACACCCAAAAGGAGAGAGAGAACAAAAGAGAATACCCCGCCACAGAGGCAGGGTGGGACAGCGGGGGGGGGGGGGGGGGGGGGGGGTTGGGGAGATGGGGGGAGGAAGGGATACTGGGACCCGTGGTGGTGGAAAATGGGCACTGGTGGAGGGATAGGTGTTTGATCATTGTATAATTGATCAAACAGTGATCAATTAAAGCTCAAAAACTTGTAAATCTACAACTGTACCTCATGGTGTTTCACTAACAAAAATTTTTAAAAAATGTAAATGATGGAGAATGGGCAGAGGTGGAGGGATGGGTACTGGATCATTGTATAACTGAAACCCAAGCACAAAAATTTGTAAGTCTACAACTGTACCTCATGGTGTTTCAGTAATAAAAATTTTTAAAAAAGGTCCTTTTAATTAAAAAAAAACACTTCCCTTCACTAGTGTACATTTTTCACCACCAATGTCCCGGTTTCCCTCTCATCTCCCTCCCCACAGCCTGCCTTGATGGTAGTCACATTACAGGTTCTGAAAGGTTATTATGTTAGGCCTTTCACCTACTTTCAGCACTCAATTCTTGTTCAGAGTGGTCATTTCCAGCTATTGTTGTCATAGTGATCCCTTCTCCATCGTAGCTGCCTTCTCCCCTCCACCACTTGTGGCAAGCTTCCAACCATGGACCATTCCTCCTGGCCCTTACGTTTTTTGCAAGTTTTGATTTTACTTATTTTTTCATTTTAAGAGATTTGATATCTCTTAAGTATTGGGTAAAATAAATCCCATCATTTCTCTCCTACCTTTCTAGCATTAATCACATCATCTACTGCCTCCTTGTCTGATTCTATGTCTCTAAAAGAATCATCTTTTCCCCTTTTAAAATTTAATCTCAGCAGTTATCAATGGCTTCTCATTCTATACTCGTCTCCCTCCAATTGAAAATCAAGCCTCAAGAGACTAAAAGAACTCAAGAGACTAAAAGTTATATGATTCTTCCTCCTCTTATTATTGCTTTGTCCCCCTTCTTCCATTTGATCTCCAAATTTTACCTCTATTTGCTCTATTTAACTTCATAATTTCTCTGCAATTTTTGATCTAAAATCACAACTCCTTACAAAATGCACTACTTAGGATTACTAGTAATTTTATGATTGAAAAATGCTTTTCCAGGCCTCACCTTCTTGATTTGTCAGTAACACCACCGCCAGTGATCATTCTTTTTTATTTCTTGATTTCTACAATGTTTTGCTAGTTCTCTTTCTAGGTCTGTTACCGATTCGTCTTGGTTTCCCTCTTTCTGTCTTTTCCTGATGATCCATACATGCTTTGTTTCAATGTAGGATTTATTAGCATTCTTTATTCTAAGTATTCTGCTCCTGAATTTGTTCTATCCCTGAATTTATTTTCAATGTTTTATTTCTGAAATATCCGTAAATTTCATGCATTCCCACAATGTCAACAATAATGAACATATAGTCTATTACCAAATCTAGTTTCTGGACAACAACTCCTCTGAACTTCATTTATGTGCCAGTGACAGTAGTTTTTACATCCAAATGATGAGGGACAATTTAAGTAAATTTGTTACCGTCTTACTTTATCTGTAAAATGTTCTAAGATTAGATTGCATAACATTTCTTACAATGTTCTAGCAAATTAATATTATTTTTTAAATCACTAGTAAATGTTTCTTTGGACAGTGAAGGTGAAAGTGCTTTTGAGAGGAAGTTGGAAAAGAAGATGACAAAGAGAGGAAGAAACCACATTTTGCTTAGAGATTAACTAATGCTGTAGAATAAAAACACACAGGACATAGAGCTTGTGAAAAACAAGATTAGCAAAGATGAGAAAGCAGAACTAGTCCCACTAAGAAACTAAAAATGCTGAGTATTGTTCCACTTAAATATCGGTATATTCCAAATAAGAAGGTACTGTCTTGCATTTTTGTGTAGGTCAATTAGCATTTTCCTAAATTTTATACAGAACAGAAATGTTAATCAATTAACAAATCCTTTATTGTTCATAATCTAAATAACACGGTTTGAACTATGTTTAAGATACACTTTTCCTCTGTGAAGTGTTACGTTATACCTCAAGTATTATGAAAATGTATTCATTAAAACTTCTGATGCTGTTGAAACCTGATCTGGTAAAGATTCTGGTTTGCAAAATGAATTAATCCTCTTGTATTTTGGTCAACTTACTGCTAGTACTTGTTTCCCATGAAGGAACATCCTCTTGTGAAGGAAGGGCCAATGTTTCCTTCCTTTCCAAGAGAACTGATTACAGCAACTGTTTCTATTTTGGTTAGATATATAAACACATTTCAGTGAGAGTAACAAGCAAAGCATAACATGGTTGGTGATTCAGCAAAAATTGGAGATGGCTTTGGTCAGAGAAAAACAATTGAAATCTCATATGTACATTTTCACTGACTCTCAAAACATTGCTTTTAAGGAGAAAATTCAGGCTCTTCATAAAAATCTGAAGCATAAATTCATAGAAAAAATTATTTGATATTAAGAACATTTTCTGGGAATGAGATAATAATTCAGTATTTGGTCAGGTATTACCTTCCAGATGACGTTCTCTGCCAATTTTAAAGTTTCCATGTATTGGAAAACAAACTGTCAAAGTCAATGCTTTCATATAGAAGAATAAAGAATGGAAGACTTTTCAAGCACTTTTTAGTTGAAGCCTACACACAGTGAACATGATAGGGTGTTTGCCGCCAGGGTGTTTTTATTATTTTAGGAAATCAATTGGTTAAAAGCAAAGCGATTCAATTTGACTTCTCACTGTCAAGATAGGTAAATTCCAACTGTGACTAATGTAAGGAGACTGTCAGGTAAAGCTAATAGAGTAGGCTTTCCATGCTCAGAAATGTCAATAAAAGCATAGTGACCTGAACAATCTACCATGCTAAGTGGAAGTGATACACTTCACTGGAGGGATTTATTATAAAATTATAGTTTGATCATTCATTTAACAAAGAAATGTATTGACTATTTACTGTATTGACTCAGCCTCTGACATCACAAAGTTTGTTGGTGGAGTTAACAGGTGTAACCAGGATAGCATTTTGAAAATGCATCAACAGATGTCATTTAAATTTTCATCACATTATAGTGCTTTTTATGGGCACACAAATAGACCATATAAACCAAGCATGAATCAAGAAGATATTTTTAAGAGAGCTAAGACCTAAGGATTAGTAAAAACTGGGAGTTAAGTTATATCAGACAAAAACAAGTGTGAATTCCTGGATCTTAGTGAAAGCTTTTGAGGAAACAAAAGTTCAGTTTGGCTAGGATGAGAAAGGAAGTGGCAAGTGATGATAATGAGGAAGTAAGCAGAAGCTAAATAGGCAGTACTTAATGAGCACTTTTGCCATGGAGTTGATTTATTCATAGAATTGAAGGAACAAGAGCCACTTACATGGAATATTTAAAATTAATAGTGTAAGTGATGCCACATTTGCACATTAGAGTTTATTTAATTCCTGTAGCCTAGGGAACTATGAAATAACATAGAATGTCTACATAATCCAATTTGGTTGAGTGATTTATGTGAGAAAGAATAAAAAGATTTGGATATGTGACCAAATTACCTTTATAAGTGAATTGGATATAAGAAAATCATAGCTACATAGAGCTTATGTTGAATTGGATGGACATGGAAAGTTTAATATTTGGAGGGCCCATTTGTAGCAAGAAAAAGCTTAGATCATAGTTCAACAAGGAACAGGAGAGAGTCTGAAACACACTGAGTATGAGAACTAGCATTCAAAAAAGGCTTGGAATGTACTCTGGGGAAGAGATGCAGGATTCCACAGTGGGATTGAAGGGAGATTGACACAGTTTTGTGCAGCACTGTGTAAAGCAGTTTTTATTTAAATTTTAAGAATCAGAGATGGGGCTGGAGGGATAGTAAAAAGTTAAGGTGGTTGCTTTGTATTCAGTCAGTGATGACTGGATCTCCAGCCCCACATATGGTCCCTCAAACACTGCTATGAGTGATCCTTGAGCACAATGCCAGGAGTAAGTCTGGTTGTATCTCCCCAAAACAACAATAACAACAACAAATCAGAGGCATCCAGGAAACTAGTATATATGTATAAAAGAATACAGGGATAAAATTAGAAGAAACAAATTAGTTATGGTACAAAAGTTAAGGAGGAACCTAGAATCAGGAATATGATAAAGAGAAACAAGTAACTCATGAATAAAGTAACTCATGAATTAAGAAGTCAAGGTCTAAACTTTAACTCATGAATAAAGAAGTCAAGGTCTAAACTTTTAGCATGTAAGCACAGTGTGTTTGTCTCTCTATTGGGTACCAGTATATTTGCAAGTATGGGTATATCAGCCTCAGTCAAAACATGGACTCATGTATTGAAACAAGGGATATGCTGATAGATGTTCAGTACTAACTGGAATTATAATCATCAAGAACCTCTACAAGGAAGACTATGGTAAACCAGAAAAAGTTATTATGATCAACAAACTAGATCTACTGACTTTGGCAGCTACTGTCAAAACAAACCAAGGAAAAACATGGTTAAGTGCCTGATAAGGAAAAAATACACTGCAAAATAAATAGAGTATCCATTCTGGGAAACCATATGGATCAAAGATCTCTATTTAGCTGTCTCAGGAATCCAAACACAAGGAATTTTTTTAATATGAGAGGGGATTAGAAATGAAGGGAAACTGGAAATCAGAAACTCCCAGGAGGAACTTATCAAATTGAAGAGAATTGTAACATTCTGGAGAGACGAAAGGTTAAGGAGGCTGCCTTGCATTCAGTCAATGATGCCTGAATCCCCACACCACCAAAATGGGCTGTTGGTAGAGGGTAAGAGAACAGGCAGCTACATAAATTTAAGAAATGTGTATTATTCTTTGTCACTACTTTTTGGTTAACAAACTGGAAGATTAGATACAAGATTCTTTCAATAGAGAATTGCATCTTAGTAAGATTTATGTTTATCAATACTATATCTAGTTGTTTCTTCTTTTCTCCATCACAGTTTTGATATAATTTATTCTATAATTTAAATTTTTTAAAAATTTAAAAAATTTTGACAAGTTAGACAACTCAAATTCAAGCAATTATATCAATTTAATAATATCATTTTTTTCTCTTTTCAAAAAGATAAGCAATATCTTGAAGGACATAGATTAGAAAAAAGGCACTTGTAGGATTACTTAATGTGTTTACATTTCCACTCACACTAAAACTTAAGACTCAGGGATGTTCAGTTCCTTATTTTAACAACTTCAGAGGTTTTTCTTGGCTAAGACAAACATATTGCTTGGATCTATATTTAAAACACTATGCATTACTCATATATTAGTAGAAGTGTAATAAATAAGAAAAAAAATCCCTATTAGAGATCCACCCAGACAGTTTCTGACCCTGAATAAAATAAATAGCTCTGGTCTAAATATATTTATGCTTGGATATAAATAAAGCCATAAAGGAAAGTACATATGGTCATGATCTGAATATAAAGTACTTAAATTATCATATTCTATCTCAAGTTGCTAGCATGCAACAGGGATGAATGGAGACGTTACTGGCACCTGCTTGAGTAAATCGATGAATAACGGGGGATCGAGTGATCAAGTGATCTCATGTAGTGATATCCACTGACATAGCTGTCTTAACCTTTGTGGGGCTATTTACTTAGTAAAGACCATTCCTTATAATTTTCTTAGAAAATGGCCTATTTATGCAAATAAACCCATTGTGGTGAAGAATGTAATATGGAACTTTTCTTGGTATTCTTTCCATTTGAATTCTTTTTTCATTGAGATGGTTAGCATTTCACAGCATTTGTAAAAGCTAATCACAGATCCTGTTTATACTTCTTTCACTTTAACTCAATGCTAACATTTTGTGAACTCTAATGTACCATTATAACCATGATGTTGGCATTACACCAATCAATAGGTTGGCGGTCACCAGTTTCATCTGTACCCATTTATATGCATATGTATGTGGTTTTATACAATTTTATCGCATGTTGTTTCTGTTTCAATCATAAGAGAGAAGAAAGTCTTTGCCCAAGAATTCCTCTACTGCTTTTAATTTTCCTCTTCTATCCTGTCTATACCATCTACATCCCTCCCTCACCCCTGGACCACTAATCCTTCTTTATTTACAAAATTTTGTGATTTCAAAATTTTTACATAAATGGAATCATATATTATGCTATGGAGTCACTCTTGGTAGTGTTCAGGAGACCATATATAGTCCATGATCAAACCAGGCATTGTGCAAACTAAACACTCAGTCACAGAGCTATCACTCCACCCACAAGAGCAGGCTTTTGGAACTACAAATTGTGGGAAGTTTTTAAAAATTGCAGGTGGGTGAGACAACTCAATGTGAAATAATACTACATTTTTCAACTTGAAAAAAGAATTTAAGTGGGTGTCCAGAGGTTTAAACGAAAACCTAATCTCTGGACACCTATTTAGAGATTTACCAGTCCTAAATGGCAGATTAGGAAAACTGAGAAAAATTGTTGTAGTTTGGAAAAATTAGTCTCTGGCTTTGGCCAATTTCTAATTTTATAAAGAGTTTTCCTCCTTGAGGCAAAGTATATAGAGGCAATTAAAGTTTAATTCTTGACTATGATACATTCAGTTGAAGGTCACTTGTAAACTTAGATTATGGTTCTTGTGCTGATAATATCAAAGAGAGTAACACATTCTCTGTGGGGGTCTCAGCAAAGAAGGAAGGGGCTTAAGGGGGCTTGTTCAGTACACTTCAAAATTGCAGAGCCTATACAGATACCATCAACTGTAATATTAAATAATAATTTAAAGACAGATTCTTTCCTTTTTCATGGCAAGGCATCCAGGGAAACCCCTAAGGAAGTAAACACATGCAGTAGCGGTTGCAGCAGATGTTTCTGAATTAGAGGCAATTAATAAAAACTGATGAACAAAAAACAATCCTCCTTGGTCACTGGAAAAGAATATGATGCTATTTTACATAACAGCACTGTCACTGTCACTGTCCCTGACTTCCCATTGTTCATCGAATTGCTCGAGCGGGCCCAGTAACATTGTGAGACTTGTTACTGTGTTTGGCATATCGAATACGTCACGGGTAGCTTGCCAGGCTTTGTTGTGCTGGCGAGATACTCTCAGTTGCTTGCCGGGCTCTCTGAGAGGGGTGGAAGAATGGAACTCGTGTCTGTCATGTCAGCCACATGCAAGGCAAACGCTTTACCTGCTGTGCTATCGCTCCAGCCCACATAACAGCACATGAATATAAAATTAGCATAATATATTTCTTACCAGAAAGAGTAAACTGGGGAGCAGGGAGAACATCTTTGACTAGAGAGGAAGCCTGGTAAGTAATTCTGTGTAGCCAATTATTTTCTAGGTTATGTTTGCAGACTGAATGACTGTAGGAAGTAACATCAAAACCATTTTTCTCAGTTCAAGGAACTGCAGCCCCAGAGTGTTGGAACTGATCACCAAACAACCCATGTAGGTGTGCAGCTAAATATACTTGTGAAGAGAGAGATTTTTAAAAGATAGGTAATTGCTGGCAACTAGATATTTCTCTGCCCCCCCCCCCAAACTTCCTGAAACATTGTAGACACTTTTTTTCTTGTTAAGACACTATTTGTTTTCCCTCTGTCAAACCCCGAGTCATCCATTCTCCCCAGGCAGCCTGGAGAAGCTTAGGAAGATGAACATTCAAGGCAGAGAAAGACAGATGGGAGCTATGTGTCCATGTCTGTAGTTATAGGAGGTGGAGAAGGCGCCTTCACATGGTGACAAAGGCCACCATCAGTAGTTGAGCCCCGTGGCCTCTGAGAAGGCAGAGCCCAGAATGACGTAGGAAAAGAGCTGTTGCTTCAGGGAAGGGTTCCTGGCATAACCTATGATGAGGCTTCCAAACACAGGCCCAGTCCCAGCTCCAGAGCCAGCCACCCGGACGGTGGCAACTCCAGTCCCAGCCCGAGTGAATTTGGCTGCTGTGTCACTGTCCTTAGAAATGGTGCTGGTTTGGAAGCTGCAGCTCAGAACAAGTGAGGTCAGGGGACATGGGGCAGCCAGGCTGCTGAGGCTCTCATCTGTAGGTGTCTCTGTTTGTTTCAGCACCACAGCAGATAGCACACAGCTCAACACCTGGAAGGTGCTCCTGACCATGGTGGGGGTGGAGATGAATTGGAAACAGACAACATCTTCTGTGGTGGGGGAATGGCTCCCACTGTAGAGAAGACAGAGTTGTAGACCCGTTCTACAGCTTGAATGAACAGAGAAACACCATGCAAAAAACTCTGTATGAATTTTGTGTATGATTTTTAAAAATGGAAACATTTTCTTCTGTAGCACTGTCCATTGATTTGCTCGAGAGGGCACCAGTAATATCTCCATTGTGAGACTTGTTGTTACTGTTTTTGGCATATTGAATATGCCACAGGGAGCTTGCCAGGCTCTGCCATGTGGGCGGGATCCTCTTGGTGGCTTGCTGGGTTCTCTCAGAAGGATGGAGGAACCAAACCCGGGTTGGCCACGTGCAAGGCAAACGTCCCACCCACTGTGCTATCACTCCAGCCCAACTTCTTCACTGCACTAAAATAAATGATAGCACATTTCCCACCTATTCATATTAAAATGTGATTCAGAGGGATGACTGGAAAAGAATCATAAAAGCACATTTTGTTTGCACTGAAATGACATCTATTAAATCGACGACATCCATAATCACAGGAAAACTCACTCTAACAAATGCCATGCGTCCGGTTTGTTGGGTTAGTAAGTCATCCGTGTCTTGTTCATGTCCTGACTATAGTGAGGAGCTTTCTGAAGCACCAGATGGAGTCTGGGATGTCGGTGGAGCATCAACTACCGCGTATGTCTGGCATGGCCTCATATAAAAATTTTTAATGAGTTGATACTATCGTAATAAAAGTTCTTCTTCTCCAGTCTCATTGTAGATCTAAGTGTTCTATTGCTCCAAAAAACCCACCTAAAATTATAAAAGCTTTTCAAATAACTTCTGGAATTTTCTGAGAGATAATTTTAATTTAAAATTATTTTACAAAAGGCATTATTCTCTGTATTCTATAAATTATTTTTAGGTTACCTCTGTTTAAAATAATATTTTTAAGCCAGTGTCTAAAAGACTTTATGCCTTTTAATAGGACTTCTAAAAATATATTCCATTGTTTGTAAGAAAGTGTGTAACGAGAAATGAGTCATTCTTTTTAAAAGCCCCCTTCCTCATATACATATATATGTATGTATATGTATAATCTATAATGTTTGTACTTCAATCTGAGTATCTTTCTGTTACTGGTAAATTACAAAAGCGTCAAACTTGTTCTAACAAATGTTACATTGTTTTTGTAATTTTCTTCCTGAAGGGAACATGGTCAAATATTAAACAGAGAGCTTAACCTGGCTTAAACCATAGTTGGTTTTTTCGTTTATTTTTGGGCTGCACCCGACTGTACTCAGGGTTACTCTGGGCAGTGTTCAGGGTTACTCTGGGCAGTGTTCAGGGAATCACATAGCCCTGGGCCTCCAACTCAGGCATGTCTGGAACATCAGCTTTCATGGTACCACCAGCAGGCCAATCTGTACCGGTGAGGAGAGTGCATCAGCAGCCTGATGGTACCTTCAGACTTCTGGATACCCCAAAATTGCTGCTGTGCCTTTTGGCCAGACCCCAACAATTTGGGGCCAAATTTATCAAGAAAGTAAATGATCAAAAGTTGGGTATGTGGGAGACATACCCACAAATCACCTCTGACTCAGCTATATAATTGGAGGCAAGGCCTCTCTGGTTTCTGATCAAACTGCTTATCAGCCATGATCCCAGAGACTCAGAAACAAATCTTCAAACCCAATGACTTTTGGCAGAAATGCATCCAGTCCCTGCAATAGATTACTGGCGCCAGGCCACCCCTGGTGGGAATAGGTTTCATGGCTTGGCCTGTTCCCCCTGGTGGCTTGGTGGCTGCCATCCTCCAGATGCCATTGGACAGTCAGGTTTGGACCTGCAGTGACAAGACACAGGGCCTCACATGTTGGGGGTGGAGCTGGCCCTTTCCTCCCCGCCCCAATCAGACCCCAAGTCGCCACCCACAAATGACCTCTCTGACTCCTGATCAAGCTGCTTAGCAATCATGATCCAAGAGACTCAGAAACAAATCTAGGAACCCAGCAGCTTTTGGCAGAAATGCACCCAGTCCCCACAGTAGGTTACCGGTGCGACCATCCCAGGAAGAAAAGGGTGCTGTCCCTCCACCTGATCCCCCTTGGCGGCTCAGTAGCTGCCATCCTCTAGAGGCCATTGGACAGTCAGGTTTGGGCCTGCAGTGATGAGACACGCAGGGCCTCATGGGATGGGGGTGGAGTTGGTCCTTTCCTCCCCACCCTAGGGAAACCCTGAGTTGCCGCCCACGAACGGCCTCTCTGGCCCCTGATCAAGCTGCTTAACGGCCATGATCCAAGAGACTCAGGAACAAATCTTGGAACCTAGCAGGTTTTGGCAGAAATCCTTCCAGATTTAACTGCTAAAATTTTAGAATTTCAAAATTGCGTGGACACTACTGCGGCTGCGCGACATCATATGTTATTCATAACCAGCAATAGAAAACAAATTGTCTACGGTTGTCTTTTCAGCAGATCCGAGTGTTGGGGTAAAATTCCAAATAATAATGGTGGGTCTGGTGTCGAAATATTGAATGTAATCATAGTAGAGAGAGAGTAATGTGGAAATCATCTGCCCCACAGGTAGGGGGAGGGTGTGGAATGGGGATTATACTGGGGTTTTTGGTGGTGGAAAATGGGCACTGCTGAAGGGACGGGTGTTTCATCATTGTATGACGGAGATTTAAACGTAAAAACTTTGTAACTGCTCTCACGGTGATTTAATAAATAAATTTATAAAAAAGAAAAAAAAAGTAAGATGGAGTTCATACTCAATTCAACCAGCCTAATTAGTGGCTGAATAATTAGCAATACTCCTACATTAAAAAAAAAAAAAGAAACATCAGCTCTCAAAGGATACAGTTTACCATTTTGTGATCAGTTTTAGCTACTCTGAGACGGAGTCTTACCCTGAGTGAATTTATACACTGAATTGGTAGATATCCTGTCTCCAGAAGAGATGACAGCCTTGTAGCTTGACATTGACTACTGGGAAGGAAGAGTAAAATTGCTTCTGAGGTTTTCTCTGGTGGAGAGATGTACAGAAACATAAAGATGCTTGTAGTATTTCTCTGACTCCTAAGTGTGAGGCTTTCATAAGGAGAAGACCACCTTCAAATATCTTAGCTTCTTTTCAAGCAAAAAATTAAAAATGGGTCCTTTTACTGACCATGTATGTTAGCTGTATTTCATGACACTGTGTCTTGAATTCAACTAAAGACATTTTTTTCTTAATGTCAATTCTCTTGCTTTTTTATGACACAACATCCATTGCAATCTAGTCTTAACAAAACTGATTTACTTATTAGGGGCATTTTTTTCCAGCTCATCACAGCTGATGGATCAATCTACTCACTGTGCCAATGTTTTGTGAGAATTATGAACATTCCCATAGAGTAATAAAAATACAATTATTTGTCTTAGGGTTTGAAGTGCAAGTATTCTTTTTTTGGACTGAGGAACTTAGTGAGTTGTTGGGGAGGGGACGGGTAATTGATTTAATTCTATGTCAAGCACCTATCAGGAAACTTTTCCTGCTTATTCCAGAAACCAACTTCCCTATTTCCCCATCATGATGATGTTGGGTCCGACAACATCATGAGTCTATCCTTATGGTAGGGTGAGCCTAGCATAATTAGGCTTGTCCTCCAGAGTCTACTTATGATAAAGCTCACTTAAGAGCAAAAATGATGCTATCATTACTTGCCTTCTATTTAACTTGAGAACACTTGTCTTTGTGGAGGAATAGGCTCCCTTTAGGCAAACACACTAATAATACTTTGAAAAGAATTAAGCATGATAATAACAATAGTTCACACAATTCAACTTCTTTTTATTGCAAATAGAATATATTTTATTGATACTGGATCAGACACTGAATTTGTTTCTTAATAGTGATGGTGAATTTTCACAGATCCATTCAATCTTGCTTGTCTTGTCTCATTACTGGTAATCTCATGCATAAGTTGAGAGACTTGAGAGACAATCAGAAGCTGTACAAAAAGTAAGTCAGACCTGGAGTCTCTAATTTTGTGCAAGTACATTCTTTATTGTTTAAGTGGCAATATAAACCAGTAAAGCAACATCATTGATTATTTTAGAAAAATCTTGTAGCATTATTTTTTTAAATTTTATTGAATCACCGTAAGATAGTTACAAGTTTTCATGTTTGGGTTACAATCATTTACAATGACCCAGAACAAACCACTGTCCTCTAGACTGTAAAAACTGACAACACTGCTCACCCAGAGATAACCTTGCTATCTTCTCCATCTAAATCTTTTCCTGGTTTTCTTTACCTCTGCCTTGAGTATACTGTGTAAGACTGAGGAAAGCCTTTTAGGTTTTTCTTTTGTTGTTCCCTGTGTATGTGCTGTTAACTTTAGATAAAGGAAACAGTTTTTTTTGCTCTTCAGGGTAACTTAACTTTGTTCAGTGCTTTTACCCACTAAAGTATGTTCAGAGTATCAAATTATGTTCAGTGTACTTAATCACTAAATAAAACATGGTCTCTACTAATTGCACCCACTCCAATTTTGTTATATTTTCATAACAGTTTTTTTTTGTTTTTGTTTTTGGGCCATCTGGCAATGCTCAAGGGTTACTCCTGGCTCTGCACTCAGAAGTTACTTCTGACAGTGCTTAAGAGTGCAAGGGACTAAACCCAGGTCAGCTACAAGAAAGCCACCCCACTTGCTGTACTATCTCTCCAGTCCCCCTCTTTAATAACTTGAGATTCAAATGGGCCCTATAAATGTGTCCAATGAACATGAAACCAGAAAACATCAAATAGGGGTGTTTTCATTGAGTGAATACTGAGAGTGATTCCCAACAATATTTTTTGCATCTAAGCTTATTATTGGTAATAAGTTTTGTACTGAGGTTAGGAGAAATTTTTGTTGCTGGTATCCACAATCAACTGGTGCCTACAATTAGAATTTTCCAATATTTGCCTACTCTGATATAACTGCAAATGACCAATAACATCACACAGCTCAGATAAATAAATCATAAATTAAATAGCTCTTGGTGGCCAGACTCCACTTTCTAATCTAATTGAAGAACAGGTTTTCCCATTGAAACATACAATTAACACTCTATCTAAAACTTTTAAGATAGAAACTACCTGGAATGAGAGGCAAAGTAAAGTCAAAATAATCTAATACACGAATAGAACTTACACTTTACAGATACATTTAGTTCTGAAATCAGGTTGAATTAGCTGAATTCATGATGATGAAATGATTCTAGATGCATCTGATGAAAAGAATAATGAAAGTTTTTTGAAGGATGATGACTGATACTACACAATATTTCAGTAAAAATTCAACAACTAACATAAGAAGAATCACTGCCCAGTGCTGTAGTATGAAAAGCTAGAATCCAGCAAGGAAAAAAGTGACCACAAAGATGTAGTAACTTTATCCCAATTTCTAGCGGAATAAATACTTCATGAAATAGAGTTGCAATAGGCAAAAAAATTATTTATAGTCATTACTGGTGCAAGAACTATACAGGGCAAATTTATTTTCAAATTCTGACTACAGGAACCATGTTAGGGTTGAACCACAGTGCCCTCTAGCCTGCATGCCTGCATAGCCAGAGACTGGACTTGGCAGATTCTGGAGGAAACCATTTGGCTTTGTAAGTAGATTTTCTTCATATTTTCATACCATTTGTTTATGTACTTCAAAAGTGTTGCTACCTCTTCAAGTTAAAGGAAAATATTTATTCATCTTAAGGAACTAAATAACACCATGCCCAAGATGTCCTTTACCCTACATATTTAACATTCCTTGGCAGTTTCAATTTTTAAAAGCTGACTTTCAGATATTTTATCCACACCAAGGAACTTGTATAAAAAACATCCTGATGCATACAAAAGTCACTTATAATTTTATGATCATATTTGGAAAGCTAAATGTTTATACATATACTATTAGATAGAGTCATATTGCCTTCATTAAACCACATTTAGCCTATAAAAATTGCTTTTTCAATATGTTTTTTTCTAATATCCTACAGTATAAATAAGAAATGAGAGAAATATGCGAAATGGCAAAAAATATGAGTCTTAGTTTTCTTAGTATATTCTCTAAAATACAAAGTCTTTTGATCATATTAAGACTATTAATGTAAAACATGCTAGGAGGAGAAAAAAGAATAATGTGGTAACAACAAAGTCTCCAATGGAGACGTTACTGGGCCCGCTCGAGCAAATCGACGATCAATGGGAGGGCCTTTACCTTTACCTTTACCTTATTAGTTTTCCTAGACTGATTTATTTCTTTTCTTCCCACTCTTATACCCTTATTCTCTGTCCTTTGTTAGAATTGTTCATTAAACTAGTGGATAATCAATTTTTTCCAACTTGTAGTAAATGGTTTTAAAAACTATAAGGAA